CGGGGCCGCGACGTCACCGGGGGGCGGAGGGCAGGCTGCGCACGCGTGCGTGCGCGCAGGTCTTCGCGAGTTCGCGCGGCATGCGCGCGGGGGTTCGGCCCGGCCTTTTCCCCGGCTCTCCCCGAGCTCCGCACCCACGTCCGGTCCCAGAGCCTCCTGCCCAGCCCGTACTCATGCCGCCGGAACTTCCGCGCGGGCCTCGGGCTGTGGGCCTTAGGGCTGTGTGGGGTTCGCCCCCACGCCAGGACAGGTGGGTGGGCCCTCGGCAGGCTCCGCCCCTACCCCCACTTGCACGTCGTGCCCCCAGCTGTCAGAGGGAGACCCGCCCCCGGGGCCACGCTTCGCCACGCCCCGCTCCGAAAAGAGTCGCTTTGCGGGGTCCCAGTCCACCCCTTCCCGAGGACTCTTCCGGCGTCTGAGGCTGCTCAGGGTCACATCGGCGGGCTGCGGGCGGCACTCGCGGGAAGCTGAGGATACTTTGTGTCCAGGCCGGGAGCCAGGGGTGCCTGGTCACTCGGTGCCCCGCACCAGCTCTGAGCTCGCGCACCGTCTTTGGGGTCCCACGGGAGCTCAAGAAACACCGGCCCTAGGTGGACACGGGTGCCTGCGTGGATGCAGGTGCACATGTGCGAGCCAGTGTATGGCGGTGGGCTCGTGTGGACAGCTGTCCGAGGATAGTCAAACTGGCCTCGGGGTCCTCCACACGAGGAAGGAGACTTGAGGCTGCTAGAGGGAGTCCCACTCTGGGGGGAGAGGCAAGAGGAGGAAGCTCTTCCATGCTGCCCAAGTGAAGGGAGAGTGTGTGATGTCCCTGTGGCCCATCATCAGACAACCCTCTTTGAAGCTGGTAGAAGCCTGGGACCTCCCACCTGTCTGGTCATGCTCATCCTGGGCTCTGAGCCAGCACTGGCCAAAGGGGCCAGAGGTTAACCATCAACTGGGGCCCACCCCCCAGATGAGACTTGGCTGAAGATCATGACCCCCATACCCTCTATTCTGATGGGGAGAATAGGTAGGGCTCTACTAAGTGTCCACTCAGCAAGGCCTCGGTCAGCTCAACCACCCACCCTTGCTGGGTCTGGAGCCTTGGCCCTTTATCCTCCAATCTTGGTTTCCCCAGAGGTAAACTGAGGAAGCGAGGAAGGATGACCTCAGAGGAAGGGTCTGCCATGGCTCTCTGCTGAGATCCCAGGAAGGAATAAGGCAGTCTCCTGCCCTGAGAGCTCATCTGAGGACCGGCATCACCCGAGACAGCCCCAGGTGGCTGCTAGTCAGAGGAGGAGCTGGTGACATGCATACAGATGTGGCAGTCTGAGGCCCCAGGCTGCCCTTCCACCCCTGGAGTCTCTCTCCCACCTGACACTTGGCCCAAGCCACATTGAGCTGGAGAGGCTGGTGGCCAATGGCCTGGGGCCAATCCCAGTGCTGGTGCTGACGTGGTCAGGCTGAGGCCCTGTCAAGAGGGGTGACTTTGTGGCCAGAGTGTAAGTTGTTATGGGAGGCCTTGTCCAGTGGCAATGCAGCCACTGGTGGGGCCAGAAGTCACTGGGCTGGCAAGGAGGCTCCTCCTCGAACAGGTCACACCCCCAGCCTGGCCTCCTTCCCAGCCTTTGCCACTGTGGGATCCTTGTGGGTGTCCATCACTCTTTCCTGTCCCCTACTGTCCTGGGAGGGCCTTGGAGGGTGGGTCAGGTGTGGGGAGATACAGGTTTAACTAACCAGCACTTAGTCACTGGCCTGTGGTAACCAAGAAAGTATACCACTTAGCTATCCTGCTGCCCCTGGCTCCACCCCACATTCGTGCCATGAAGCCTGCTCACAGCCAATGAGCTGGCAAGGTACTGAACCTGCCCAGTCTAATGGTACCTGTCACAGAGCCCCTGTTGGCCTGGTGGGACTTTCTCAGAGCTGCCCTGTGATCCCAGTCTCCTGCTGCCCAGCCCTCCTTCCTGCCCCTTTCCATTCAAAGGTGTCAGACCTGCATCCCAGTCTGAAGGCTTTCTTGCCTACTCCTACGTCCTTACCCTTTATCCTTGCACGTCTTATCCCCTCTTGGCGTCTGCTTCTCAGAGGACCTGCATTAACACAGTCTTCTCTCTCTCTTCTCATATCCACCCGGTTCCCTCCCATGTCCAAATAAGCCCTCAGAAGAGGATCTGAAATGCCTTCACAACCAGGAGCAAGTGACACAGAATTGGTTCCACGGTCACCCTTCCCAGAGTACTTGTTTTAGAAGGATCAGACTGGATCTTCCACTCCAAGGAACAGGGTGATGGTGGAACTTCAGATGATGGTGAGGAAGGCATCTGGGGTTCCTGAGGCCAATTTGGCCCCCTGGGAGAAGGAGGAGTTACAGAGGCACACCTGAGCCAGGCTCTAAAAATCAGATGTTGCCTTTACTGTGACAGCGGCAATTCCCCAGGATAAGCAAACATGGGGAGTCAGAATGGCAGCAGAGGCCACCCCAGGATCATCCTCACCCCTCCCCTGTCCTCAATCAAAAGCAGAAGCCAAATGTGGCCCCAGCCTCCAGCCCACGGAGAGGCTGTGAGAAGGCAGTTAGGGTCAAAAGTCACACAGAGCCCGGTGACTGTCAAGGCAGCTGGTTGGAAATAAGGCTGGAGCAGAGGGTTGAAAGCAAAGGGGCAATGGGGCACCCCAGGTGGCCCCAAGCAGTGCAGAGGGGCATTAGTCTTGAGCCTGGAGGGCACCAAGTCCTCAGGTCCCAGGTGGAGTGGATTGCAGCCCAACTGGGGCTCGGAGTAACCCATGGTGGGGTCTAGAGGAGCCCTGGGGAGCTCAGGCTGCAAAGGTGGCTCCTAGAATGGGCACAAGGATGCCAGCCCTGGGGCACCACATCTCGGCTGAGCCCCCTCCAAGAATGTCCCCCAGCCCCAGCCCCCAGCAGGCAGAGGCCAGGAGGGACTGAAGGCTTAGAGAATGTTGCTGGAGTCCTGGCTGATCCAAGGGCAGTGGCGGGGGGAGGGGGGAAGGTACAGGGTCACCAGTGAGCCCAGGAGCCAACAAGGGTCGGCTGAAGGAGCACTGGTCATAGTGCCAGTCAGGAGTCTCATGGAGCCCACTATTGCTTGAGAGAACTGGGGTGGCTTCCAGGAGAGGGGTAGGAAGGCAGCCCACTCTGCACTAGTCCAGGCCAAGTTCCAGGAAAGCGGGACCAGCCGCTGTAGAAGGGCCGGTGGCACCAAGCACATGGGGGTCAGAAGGACGTCCTCCAAGGTGGACAGACGGGAGGTGGCGGAGCTGCTGGCCCAGCCAGGAGCTCAAATTACTTCATTTGCAGTACTCCTTCCTGAACTCTGGAAATCAAGGGGCAAGGCTGGATCTGTGCTCTGCCCCACCCTCCTGGTGGGAAATTCAGGGCAGACATCTGGCAAGACTTCCCAAGGAACATGGAGCTGGGTGTGGTTACTTTGGAGGTCACTGCGAGTGGGTAGAGTGGGGTGCAGGGGTGAGGGCTGGGCTCTGAGATGGGATTGGGGTGTGGACGGGCCCCCACCGGCCACTCACCTTTGTCCAGGTCAATGTTCTTGGCAGGCAGGGAGCTATGGGCTAGCTCAGCCCTCTCTTTCAAAATGTTGTTTTTGTAATCTGTCACAGGGAGAGCAAGGTGAGTGGCCCCCCAGACATGGGCCTCCCCAAGCCCAGGCCTGAGGCCCACCTCACCTAGTTGGATGTCCTCACCCCTGTAAAGAGTCTGATCACCTGAGACCACAGTCAACTCCGCCATGTTCACGTCCTTCCTAGAGGAGGGGGTGCGGGGACAGTTAGCGCAGGGGTAAGGCAAGGGGCTGGGTCCCCAGGAGGGTTGGGTGCAGGATACTCACCCTTTTGACTTCCCCAACTTCTTATCCGAGTACTCGTATCCTGGGAGGGAGACTCATATTGGAGGTGGCTCAGCCCCTGCAGCCACTCCTCACCTGCCCGAGGAAGCCCCTGGCTGGTCCCTGGGCCCCTTCGGGTCACTGTGCCCCCAGCCCCACCTCTAGTGGCAAGGCCTTCCTAGTTCTACCCTCTACCCTCTGCGGGGCTTCCTCGGAAGGGGAGCCCCTGTGCCCTGCCTGAGCCCCTAGCCCAGCCATGGGCAAGTACTGGCAGGCCCAACCCTCACCTCCACGGTGGCGACGCTTACGGGTAGCCAGGACGACGGTGATGAGCAACAGGATGAAGAGCAGCAGGGTGGCCAGCACGTAGCCCAGCTGCTGGAAGAAGTGGGCCCGGCCCTCTGGGACAATGACATTGATGACGCTATGGCCTCGAGCCAGCGTCGGGTCTGCAGGGATAGTGCAGGGTGGGTCAGGCAGTGCACTCCTACCTGCCCCGATGGGGGGCCGCCCTGCTAGGCTCCTGCGGTTGGGCTGAGGACAGGCTCAGAGAAGCCCCAGCCAGTGGGGGCCTTCCCCACGGAACCCCCAGGTCCCTAAATGTGGGACATGAGTGAGACAGGGAAGCCGGTCTGGGCTGGCTCCATGAAACACGCATCCCCATGCTGACCCTGCGACATTCTCAAGGGTCCCCAGGCCGCTCCTCACCTGGGCCCGGCGCGCTGCTGTGGCTGGAGCCGTTGCCTGGTGAGTCCCGGGGGCGCGGCTCCACGGCGGGCTCGGTGACCTTCAGGTGGAAGACGCGGCGCTCATGCAGGCCGCAGTAGTGGTGGTGCAGATGGCAGGAATAGGTGCCTTCGTCGGCTAGCTCCAGCCGGTCGATGCGCAGGGAGAAGTCGCCGCGTGCAAAGGCATCCGCCCCCACGGTTACGCGATCGCGCAGGAACGGCGGCCCATAGGCGCGGCGCTCGCCTGACGCGTACAGGTCGAGCAGGCGGTCCGCGCGGTCGTGAGGCACTCCGGGTGGCTGCCGGTCCCAGTGCACCACTTGCTGAGCCTCCTCCACGTGCCGGTCAGTCCACACGTGCGCGCGGTTCACGCAAGTAAGCAGCGCCGGCGCGCCGCGTTCCACCGCCAGCACCTCCTTCTCGCCATCCCATCGCGCACCGGCGGCCAGGGCTGGGGGCGGGGCGGGTCAGAGCTGAGGACCACCTGGGCCAGCGGAGGGGGTGATGGGAGGGGGCGGCCCAGACTGCGGGGGTGGATGGGATAGGGCGGGAGAGCTGGGGAGTTCTGCGTTGGGGGGTAGGGTCGAGGAGGGTGCAGCCAGATGCCAGGGTGGGCGTGGGACGGGGACAAGGGTGGGTCGCTCATAGCCAGAGGACATGGGAGAGGGTGGGTGCGGTGAGGGAAGGGCGGTCAAGAGACGGGGGTCGGAGCACTCACGGTCGTCGGTGACCTCCAGGCGGATGGCCAGGCTCTCGTAGAGGTGGCAGTAATGGTGGTGCAGGTTACAGGTGTAGAGTCCCTCGTCGGTCTCCTCCGCCGCTGCAGATCCAGAGAAAACCTCAGCCGTGAGCTCCGCGCGTACCGCAGCTCCGCGCCTCCCGCGCCTCCCGCGCCCCGCGGCCCCGGCGCCCGCTGGCGTACCGCGCCCCGCGCCTGGGCGTACCGAGGATGAGCAAGGAGAAGTTGCCGTCGTGGAAGGCGGAGGGCGACAGGCGGAGGCGGCCGCGGTCTCGCGGCTCGTAAACTCGCTGCTCGCCCGCGGAGTACATGTCCATCAGCCGGCGCGCGGGGCCGTGGCCGCCGCCGCTGAGGTCCCAGTGGACTACGCGTTGGTGGTCGTGCAGCCGGTCTTGGGTCCACACCATGCGCGGGCTCTGGCAGCGCAGCACGGCCCCGCCGCCTGCCGCCCAGTTCACGGCCGCCTCGGACACCACGGCGCTGCCGGCCGTCGCCGGCCCTGACGGCCCTGGGGAGAGGGGGCAAGTCAGGGGGGGAAGGAGGGCCACCAAGATGAGAAGGGGGCTGGCGGGATTGGGGACGGGAGTTCTGACCCCCACGACACGGTAGCGACTAACCTGAGAATGCCAGGACAGCAGTGCCTGGAAGGAGAGAGAGGAAAGAGTCAGACCTAGGAGGGGCCACCTGAGGCGCTGTCTGGTGGAGCCCCACGTGGGCCCCTGGGCCCCTCCCATAACCTTGAAAAGAGGGTGCTGTGACATCCACTTCCCAGGTGGGGGGTAAAGCGGAGAAGTCAAGAGGACACAGGATGGGGGCTCCAGTGGTCCGGCCCTGAGGGCCCCTGTCACAGCCCCTGTCCTTTTAGGGGTGCAGAAACTGGGGAGAGGTGTTGCCCAGCAGGCTAGTGGTGAGGCCAGAACTAGACGCAGTGCAGGCTGGCCCATGGGCCACTTTTCAGGGATGGTCACCATCACTATCATGGCTACCCAAGGCCGCGGAAAGTATGAAAGCCTGACACCACAAGGCTCAGGGCTGGTTCTGGTGGCCGCATTCCCAAGCGTCTCCAGTGGGGGGCGTGCACCTGCCGAGGGCCCCTCGGACACAAGACTGCCCTAAGAAGGGGGAACTCAGGACTGCAGGGGGGGGGACTGACCCTACTGCCGCCCCCACAGGCTGAGCTCTGCTCCAGAGAAGTGGCTGAGCGCCCAGGAGAAGAGGAATGTGCCAGGTCAGCGGCCATTGAAGGCGGGCTCAGGGGGCCTCGGAGTGCAGAGGGGCTGAGCAGACGCTGAGAGCCCCACCAGACCCCCTCAGCCCTCAGGCGCACCACCCTCCTCACGACCTCCAACTTCCTCCGCTGGGAGAGGTGCTGATTGAGGGGCCTCCAAGCGCACCCACAAGATGTGGGGTGCACCGCGGACTGGAGAAAGCCGCCTCTGCCTCTTCCCCATTCCTGGCCCAGCGCCCTTCGGGCCTCTGGGCTCCCCATCTCTGGAAGGGAAGTTCTGGAGGTCTAACTCAGGACCCCCCTCCCCTGGGCCCTCAGTCTCCCTGTGAGCTCCTCTGTCTGAGCCCCCTGCCACCCCCCCCCCCCCGCCCCTGTCGCAGACCCGGCCCCTTCCCTCGGGAGTGTCCCTCCCCATCCCAGCTCCAGCTCAGACAGACACAGTTTTGCTGTAAACTCCCGAAAGGCAAACTCACTCAGACCACTCGCCCTGAAGCAGGGGGTCTCCTGAGCCCTCTATCTCACAGACACTCCACGCATCCTGACCCCTGCCCACCGCGCGCTCACCCTGCAGAAGCACAAGTTTCCAGAGCAGGACTTGGGACAGCAGCTCCATGGCGCTGCCCAGCCTGCCGCCCCGCTTTGTCTCTTCCGGCTCTAACTCTCCAGAAAAACAGCCCGGTCCCCTCCCCCTCTTCAGCACCCGCTATGACATCACGGAGCCCTGTGCCGGGACGACTGAGGCCGGACCACCCCTCCGGCTCCACCCCGGCCCCTTAGCCTCTCCCATCCTCCCTCCCCAATCCTCCACTGGCCCAGCGGGGGACAGGGGCGGTGTCCTAGCAGAGCCCAGCCCCGTCTCTGGCTCAGGTCCTGGGGGCTGGAGGGGCAGCAGCCCAGCCCTGAAGGGGCAGGAGGGGACAGCCAGGCTACTGCAGGGCTGGGCTCTGGCGTGAGGCTCCTCTGTCCACCTCAGGGGTGGGGCCCTGGCCTCAGACCCCAAGCCTGGAGTGGGGCCAGGGCATTCCTGGGTCAGCAGCCTGGCCGAGGCTCTGCCCACTCTAGGTCAGGCAGCAGAAAGGTGTCTTGAGCAGGGACCCCCAGGGAGCCTGTGCTGCCTCTGACCGCACCCCCACGGCACTCCTGCCAGACAGGGCAGCTCTTCCTGCTCTGCCAGTTAGCTATGCCAGGTCCTTCTCTCTGGACCTCTGCGTCTTCAGCTGGGAAGTGGGGACAGGAGTAGCACCTGCCCCGTTGGGCTGCAGGGGGGCGGGAAACATGTCTGGAAGGGCACTGCTACTGTGGAGACCCTGAGCGATGGCCCAGTAGCAGCCCCCTCCTTTCCGGACTGGGCCTCCCCAAATCCAGGGCCCAGCCTGGCCTTCCTGAAACCAGACCCAGAGTTACAGGACTCCTGAGAGCACCCACCCCACCCAGAGAAGGGGGAGAAAGAGGGAGGATGGGAGCTCCCGCACCAGAGATGTCAGCCCCCCAATTAGAGAATGGGAGCCCGCCCCCCAGAGAATGGGAACACCTCCACCCAGAGGAAGGGAGGGAGAAAAAGAGGGTATGGGAACCCCCATCCCAGAGAAGAGGAGAGGAAGGGGATAATGGGAGCCCCCCCCCACCCCCACATGGAAGGTACAAATTTGAAGCTCTGGGAAAACTTACAAAGTCCCATAAACAAATGCAAAATAACAGAGCTCTCACTGTGTACCAAACCTACTCCTTCTAGTTAAGCAAACCTCAAAAAAAAAAACAAACCAAACCACTGCAAAAAATCCTCAGTGCATTTTTTAGACTGCCCATTTGGACTGAATTAATGCCACAGGCCCCAGTCTCTGCTGGGCTGGGGTCTCAACCCTGGGACCCTGCCCTGCTCCCCAAGCCCCCAGCCCGACTTGGGCTTCAGCATAGGGAAGGACGAGGCAGCAGCTGCAGTGAGAGGGAGGGAGGGGTGACAACAGGGAGGGCCACCAGGAGCACATGGAGAAGCCCCCTCTATCCCAGGACCTAACTAAAAAAAACCCGTTGCCGTCCAGTCAATTCTGACACATAGCAACCTTACAGGACGAAGTAGAACTGCCCCATAGGGTTTCTAAGGCCATAATCTTTATGGAAGCAGGCTGCCACATCTTTTTCCCACAGAGCAGCTAGTGAGTTCAAAAGGCAAACCTTTTGGTTAACAGCTGAGCACTTAACCACTGTACCGCCAGGGCTCCTTAGGACCTAATGGACCCATTTCCCCAGCAAGACCTGCCTGGGGGTGGAGTCCCTTTTCCAGACGGGAATTAGGACAGGCACTTGGCCCTCCCTCAGCCTTTCCCTGGGGCCTTTCATTCTGGAAAAACAAGCCCCTCCTGGGCAGTGGCCTCAGGCCTGGCCTTCCCTCTGTTTCTCTAACTGGTTTCTATTAGGGTTGTGGCTGCCTTCTGTCCGGCCTCCTCCTCCTGCTGCCCTCCCCCGCATCTGTCTATCTATCCCTTTCTCCCTCCCCATCAGGGTCTTGGCCTCTTGCTGTCTCTTTGTCTCTCTCTGACACTGTGCCTCTCTCTCTCTGACTCCTCTGTGTCTCTGGCCGTAAAGGGAGGCTCAGGACTGCCCCTCAGGTCTGGGGGGACTGGCCCCAGATGCAGGGTCTGTGGATGGGGACCGGGCCAGCCTCAGAGAAGGACAGAGCTAGGAGCATCTAGCCTACATCTCTGCCTCAGCCAGGGCACCCTAAGCTCCCTGGGGAGCCCACCCTCCCCCTACTCCCGCTGCAGGCTTGTGCAGAGGCTCAACAGGGCTGCAGACCCAGAGCTCAGCTCAGGTCCTGGCCATGCCTGCCCTGGCTGCAGGCTGAGGGGAAGCCAGCTGAGAGGCATCTGGGCCCCTTGGGCCCCTGAGCTAGGATGGACAGATGCTGTGGAGTGTCTCGGCACCCTCTTCCCTGCTGCATCCTCTGTTTTCTCTGCTTGAAGCCAGTGGAGCCCACATGAGCAGCAAAGGGCCCATTGGCCCCCCAGGTTCCCATCTTTGGCAGGAAATAGCCAGAGAAGAGCAGAGGCCAGCAGGCAGAGGCGGTGACCAGGCCCCCTGCCCCTCCCACAGCCAAAGCCTGGGCTCCTCTGGCTCCTCCCTGGGCTGCAGAGGGGCCCATGGGCTGAGGCTATGCTGTGAATATGCAGCCTCCCCGGGACAGGACAGAGCAGGACATAAGATGCCCCTGATATCACCACGGTCCCCCCACAGCTCCCATCAAGCCCCCACCACCCGGAGCCCAGAGCTCTCCTTCCCAGGAGGCGTGGCCCAGCAAGAGGGTCAGCCAGCCTTCTCAGCTCAAAGACTAAGAATCTGATTCTGGCTCCTGTTCCTGGTGACTCGGACATTCCAGGCAGCTGGCTCGTCGGGAAGGAAAACCACAGGCACTCAGAGACACACCAGACATAACCACACACACACACACGCACACACCCCAATCACAATCACACAAAGAAAGACACACGGACACAACCACACACCTCAGATACCCGTACAGACACACAACCATACAGACACACACACAGACATACACAGATACACACACTCAGACACATACACACACAGATACACATACAGACACAACCACACAGACACCAAACACAACCACACAGAGACAGACATAAACACACACCAAACACAACACAGACACACACTCACACACCATACATAACCACACACACAGAGAGACGCAAACACAAACTCAAATACACAGACACACACAATCACACAGATACACAGACACAAGCACACATAGAGACACACATGTACACACACACAGAGACACACAGACACATGATCACACACACTTTTTGTCTTTCACAAAGACACACATTGATCCCTTATTGAGCAAACATTTAGTCAGCCCCTACTGTGCGCCAGGTGCTGCCCCGGGCACTAACATTTCAGCCCGAACACAACACCCCATTCCTGTCCTCCAGAGACCTGGACACTGATAAATGAGATCCTTTATACATGGTGATAAGTACTGTCAAGAGAATAAAACCAGGCAGGGGGCGCCTTCCCACAGACTGATAGGGAAAGGCCCCGGAGGGAGTGACAAAATTACAGGTGAATTATCGGGTGGAGGCCGGAAGCCACACTCCAGGGACTGAGAGGGGAACAAGTGCCGAATGTGAAAAGAACAGCGGCTGGTGACGACACGAGGAAGCCTTCCTGGGGCCGTGGTCTGGCTTTCCCAGGAGCGATATGGGAAGCCCTGGAAGGGTTCAGCAAGTGAGAGCCGTGGTCTGACTGATACAGGAAAATGCTGAGAGGGTCCCATTAAAGCTGTTAGGACTTATAAGAACATACAAGGAAAATGGGAGCAGTGGTGGTTCAGTGGTAGAATTCTCGCCCTCCATGCAGGAGATCCAGATTCAATTCCTGGCCAATGCACCTCATGTACAGCCACCACCCATCTATTAGTGGAGGCTTGCTATTGTTGTGATGCTGGACAGGTTTCAGCGAAACTTACAGACTAAGATGCACTAGGAAGAAAGATCTGTTGATCTACTTCTGAAAATCAGCCAATGAAAACCCCATGAATCACAACAGTCCAGACCATAACCAATCATAGGGATGGCACAGGACCAGGCAGCACTTTGTTCTGTTGCGCATGGGGTTACCATGAGTTGGGGCTACTCGACGACAGGTAACAACAAGAACACAAGGAAAACTGCCTCTATAAAGACTATGTGGTGGACAGAATTCTAAGATGGCCCCAAGATTCCTTACCCCTGGTGTCCATACCTTGTAGAGCCCCCTCCCCTGAGTGTAAGTAGGAGCTGAGACAATGAGGGATAGTTTCTCCTATGATTAGGTCACATCATGTGGCAAAGGTGATAGAATGTCACTCCCCTGATTATGAAGTCTCCATTATAGCTGACTAAGGCAGAGTCTCCTGCTATCCTTGGAGGAGCAACCCACCACGAGTTCTTCAGCTGCTATATTGTGAAAGGACCTGCAGAGAGGGTCAAGTGTCAAGGGCATGAAGGTGGCTTCTAGGAGCTGAGAGCAGCCCTGACTGACAGCCAGCAAGAAAACGGGGACTTTTGCCCTACAACCGCAAGGAACTGATCTCTGCTAACAACCTGAATGAGCTTGGAAGAGGACCCTGAGCCTCAGGTGAGACTGCACCCCTGATTGGCACCTTGATTTCAGACCGACGAGACCCTGAGCACAGGACTCAGCAAACCCATATCCAGATTCCTAAGCCATAGAAACTGTGAGATAATAAACGTATTGTTTTAAGCTACTAACTTTGTGGTGATTTGTTGTGAAGCAACAGAAGACTAATACAACTGCCTTCCAGAACAAAACAAGGGCAGGACTTAAAAAAGACAAAAGCCATGAAGCTTCATGAGGAAAAGTGATTGGTCAGTTTCCACAAGTCCTTGGTTTCTCGGTTCAGGATTGGATGCTGGCAGCAGAGCTTGGTGGGGATGGACTGCTGAGCCACAAGGTCCATTTGGGTGTCAGTGTTGATTCAGCATATACTTGAGGTTGAAGCCAGAGTGTCACAGACTACATGCACTCATAATTTCATTGTCAGACTTTTTTTCTGCTGGTTCTGACCAGTTTTCCTAGAAGCAG